TTTGTTGTTGTAGAAAATGATAGAGAAATAAAAATTGCTAATGAACACAATGACAGAATTGACCAAATAATAATAAAAGGATTTAGTATAGATTCAATTCAAACAGGAATTCCAAAAGTTCAAGGAGTATGGAACTATTCAATAAATTCAAAAGAACGATTTGCTCATATCAAATTTGATAATTTTGTAAATATTATAAATCTATCATTTGAAATTGCAAATTCAATTGTAGAGTTTGTAAAAAAATATAATTTAGATGGTATTTGTCTTGAAGGTCTTGAAAATGTGTTTTATATTACAGGAAGGTCATCACGTGATGTACGTTTAATACTTAGAAGAATTGGAATAGAATTACATAACATTAACAAGAAAGTGTATGTCATTATTCCTGTTTGTTTATTATTTGTTTTTTATATTATATAACATTAATTGAATATAGCCAAGAAGTGTTGCTATTAGTGGTACAACAATCAATTCTTTACAAAACTATATTGATGAGTTCATTATAGATACAACAGATTATTACAGTAAAAGTCTTCATTCATCTCATTGTTCATCTCCATTGATGTATGTTGAAAATCTTATCAAAGATTGTACTTCAAAAAATAAAGAACTTAAAAGTATGACATCTATTTCTATTGACCTATCTGGATATAAGTTCTGTCCAAACTATCCTCGTTCTTCAATTAATATTACATCCTTTCAAACTATTCTTCATAATCTTACTAATTCAACTTGGATAGAAGAATGTCAAGAACATAGTTTTAAAGATCCAAATAATTGTGAAATTATGTTTCCAACTATTGAGTATATTGAAAAACGAATTAACTTAGCAAGTCAAGAAGGTTTAGATATTACTTTATATCATATAGAATCAGCTCATCCTAATATCTTTGAACTTTTTTAATAAAATCTTTAATTGTTTTTTGGGTTTATTAAAAGTAATTAAAGTAAAGTATTAAATTAGATAAAAGTAATAAAACAAAGCTATAAAATAAATTTATTTAAAAGTGTTCAATAAATTTGCATTGAATGAAGTACATTGATCTTTGTTTTAGAGTAGAAAGATTTAATAACATGATCAATATTATTCATCCAGTCTGAATCACTTTCCATCAATTTTAAAAATTCAGAAACTTCAATGGCACCTTTTTCTGCAGTATCTAATTGATCCATGACAGTTAAATTAAATACATAACACAATGATCCAGTTGATGATTCCCTAGAATCAAAATATTCTAAAACATCCATAAATACAGAATAATCTAATGTAATAATTATATTAAATTCTTTCTTACAATCTTGAAACTTCTCAGGAGCACTTTTAAGATTTGCATTTCTATCAAGCATTTGATATATCTTATTCTTTCTATAATACTCAACTGATACCTCATCTTTTGGTAATGAATTTTTAATGTCCTTGTAAGGAATTCCAAATTGAAATCCAAAATTTCTCGTTGCTCCAGGTAATATTGTGTATACTCCTGTTCCAAAAGAAGAAACATTATATCCTAATTGTTTTAAACGGCAATGAGCTGAAATACTTCTGTTTTGATTAGACCTACAAATAACAGCAATCGATTCACTCAAATGGTTAGTTTTAGGTTGAAAGGAATCCATTACTTATTTTTAATTTTATTTGTTTTCTTTTTAAGTTTTTTTTGTTATATTCAAAGTTTTTGATTTTTTCATTATTGTCTTAAAATTTCATTTAATTTCTTATAACGAAAACATATCACTCTTTGAAAAAATAAAATACTGAACCACAATAAGTCTCCTAGTTATTTTAAATTTAAACCATGTTGTTAAAAAAAACAGTTAAAAGAAGACTACTATAGTTTTATTTCTGTTTGGATGATTAATGTAATTTTTCTTCTTCTTTAAAAAAAGTACATATTTTTAATAAAATTTTTATTCAAAATACCTTTGAGTAATTTTAGTTGTTGTTGTTGTAGTTATTGATTTATAAGTTATTTTTATTATTGAGGAAGAATTTTAATTTAAAGGAGTTTGAGTTACTTCTTTAAGTTACAACATTGTTTATTTAATTTTCAACAATTTCAATAAAAATGTTGATTAAGTATTAATAGAATTAGTATCTATTGTTCATTATTCAATAATGTCCCTTCAGTGGGTTATTATCAACTAGCTCTATAGAGTGTATTCTGTTGTGGTAAAGACAATGTTTCATGACATCTTTCATATTTTTTATTACAAGACTTTTGATTTCTTTTATAATATTTATTTTAATTTTTAATTATTTAATTAATTTAATGCTCTCTGTATTTACTAATCAATTTGTAGAGATTGCTATTGTAATTATTTTGACATCCTTTAATTTCTCTATTTTCTTTATTCAATGTTTTAATCCTTTATACATGTTTCTTTTTTTTTCAAATAGGCATCATTAATATTATGATCTACTACAATAGTCTTATCAGTTATAGACAAGTTTTATTCTTTTTATCTAATACATATATATCTGGTCTTTTGTGATATTGTCCATCACTTTTTGCCATTATTGTTTGTTTAATATCATAGTGATGTCATTGTATTGAAACATGTGTTATATGAGACTTTAAATATTTAAATACTAACTGTGTTCAAATTATAAGTTATTAATAAGTATTTAATTATAAAATGACTGTCATAACCAACATTATTAGACTTTATTTTAAGTTAATTCATTAGTTCTTTAATAAAACAATATGACACATGTTTTTCTAATTTTAAATAATGAAATTCATATACAAGATAATTGTAAATATTGTTCTATAATTCTTTATAACTGCACTGGAGTTTTAGTTATAAAAACTGATTTGTTGATATTTTCTCTTGTGCACTTGACTATTTTTCAAAAAAGATTTTTGGTTTTAGTCTATTTGGTTACAATTAATAAAATATATTTGAAAAATTTAATATATACAATATTTATTATTTCAGTAAGCATTTTCATTGAGTTTGTGCAAACAACCTCTCAATTTGTTCTGATAATATTTAAAAGTAATTTGAACACTACTATTTTTGTGTTTTGAAATTAAGAACAAAACTGAAAGATTAAAGATTTTAAATAAAAAACAAGATTGATTAAGAAATGTTCATAATTAGATTCTCTTTAGAACAATAAACCATTTCACATTCGAGTCAAGGTGTTGTGACTCTATTTTAGTATTAATTTACACTATGAGATTGCTTTGAAAAGTAGAAATATAAAAAGTTAATAATTATACTCTTTATTTTTATCAAAATGAAAGAATTTAAACCTAGGGTTTAGATTACTCTTTAACGAAGAGTATGTTGTTATCACCAATATTCATTGGATCCGTTATAAAAACAATTGATGATATTCCTACACTCAAACGATTAATTTTTGTAAATAAAAAAGTAAAACAAGTTATAAAAGTTTACATGAAAATCCATTTAAAATAACAGATCTAAAACTATATCG